AAGTAGTGACCAGACTATGTGGAAACGTTGTCCATGCTAACATTCCTTGGGGGTGGTGTCAATTGTCACAATCTGTAGGAAAGCAGTGTGTCGTACAATGAATCATACCCATCAACGTGGTCGTGCCATTTCATGGCCCTCGTCTTTGCAACCCTGGGAAACATGGTGAGGATATAAGTTATAGAAGAATAGAGCTTTATGATAAAAGACACTTGTCACATGATGAGTTAGAGAAAGATTGAAACTGGGAAGGAATTCTATGAACTCTGAACCCTACAGGCATGGGATGAGTAAGGAAAGGATGTAACAATAGCTTTGATCCTACCGTACATTGATAATCATGGGCAAAGTGTTTCATGTGTAAGAATGAATTGTACCAGGGGACAGAGATGAGGTTGTTGGGAACGTGGGCAGCTTATTTAAAATCGTACCCAATATTGGGCCTTATCTGACAAGAGCAATTGTAACTCACAGGCAACAAATGGAACAAACACGGGAACAGCTGCAGCAGGCAGAGCTCACCTTTAGATACCAGGTAACCTGAGTTCTGCGTGACATACTGAACCCTTAGCACCTCACGCGGGTGAGTGTAGTGGCCCTTGGAATCCCTAACCATGGGCTTTTCATTGTTGGCTTTTTCAGCTTGCAGTTCATGAGAAGAATGCTCAGGACAACTAGGTAAGTGTTTTCTTGTTTCCTCCTCTTTGTTTGGTGCACAGTCTGGCACCACCTTCTGACTGAAAGTGGATGTGTTTTTTCTCCCCCAGATCAAGACTCAGATCTGGGACAGGGAGATGGTGGAGCAGGGCAGGGAGGTTGCTTACTTGAAATACACGTGTGGTCATTTGACTTGCGTTTTTATGGGTGTTTCCAGGGATGACGCCTGCACTGTTTGTTGTCTAGTAGACGACGTGGTGTTGCAACTCTTATAGAAGTCCATTATTTTTCTGTATCCAAGACTGGACGGGATGGAACCAAAGAGGCTGCCTGAGGGATACAAGAGGCAGAAACCAATCACTGCAAGAACCCTCCAAGGAGAGGTAAGGAGCACATTGTGATGTGCCGCAGCCCAATTTCTGCTGTGCAGCCTGTTCCTGTGTGTGATCATCGTGTGGTCTGGAAAGAATCACACGCACTAAGGACGGCAGGTGGTCTGAAGGGGTGACAGAAGAGTGTTTTCCTCTGGTGCCACAGACAGTGAGGCACTTGTCCCTGTGACTGGTGGAGCTCATGCCCTTCCTCTGATGGTGACCCTCCCACCTCCTCTAGCATCCCCCTGTCTGAAGAGCCTGGAAACTTTCTTCCCACCCGGATACAATGTGAAGACTTTAGTTTATTCGAGGAGAAGGTCATTTATTCGCTAGTTTGAAAAGTCTTTCTTTTTGTTTGTTTGTGGAACTGTAGCCCTACATCCCGCCATTCAAGTTCCATAAAGCTTAGCTTAGTCCTCTGATGGTATCAGTGCAACTCTGCAGCTTCACTGCTAACTTCTCGCAGTTTTCCTTTTCTCAATAGTGTCAAATTAGTCTTTCCTTATATACTAACTGCTCTCATGTGTAAGGCAGCTTGTAGATAAGCTGGGAGATTGAACAATTTGCCTGAAGAAATGCACCCTTCTTGAAGACTCATTGAGGATATACCCCAAACCAGTGTTCTCAATGTTATTCTTTTTTGTTAAGTTTATTTATTTTGAGAGACGCATAGACAGAATGCCAAGCAGGCGTCACACCGTCAGTGAGGAACGCAACGCTGGGCTTGAATGCACAAGCTGTGAGATCGTGACCTGAGCCAAAATTAAGAGTCGGATGCTGAATCCAAGCATCCTCAGACGAATTCCTGATCTGTAATGCAATCGTGATTTCCCATGATGTATACTGAGAAAACTGTTTTACTGGTGAATTCTAAATTGCTAGTTGCGCCTGACCTGTCCACAGTGATGTGATTAATTATGAAACAACATGAACTAGGGCACCGTGAGGTCTTTATCAAGGTGAGGGGACGGTTCTCCCCCTTATCCTTGGGGGTCACCTGAGGCATGTGGGATACCCTCTGCCTCTGGCCAGGGACCTGACTGTAGGGAAAAGTTTAAGATATTTGAGGAATGAGTGGAGGGATTGTTTTCATTCCACACAGTCCTCTAAAAGCAGAATAAACCTCTGTCCCTTCTAGGGTCTTTAGTAGATCGAGAAACTGCTGAAACCTCTGTGGGTTACAGTGGCTCTGACTGTACCAAGAATGCAGACAAGGGCAAGGTAAATGCCGGGGCCATTCTCAGTTGTCACTCTTTTGGGAAACCCTCATCTTTATGTACAGTATGGTCTCCCGGCCTTGTCTCGTTTTGCATGTTGTGTGATATGTCTGTTTGTTCTTTCTTTTCCAAATGCAGGCTTCTCCATTTTCTGTCTGTCATCTTTCTGTGGTAAGTTTAGAAGCCAAAAGCGCTTAGAGACTGAGTACCTTAAGGTTTTTCTGTGAGTTTCAGGAAATAATGAGAGGAGGATGACTGCGCACTCCAAACAGATGTCTCCCGGCCTGGGTGATCCCTTCCAGACCTCACCTCTGTGGGAACAGTGTGGCTGCTGTGTCTTCCTTTCTTGATTCTGGCTAGGAGATGAACCTGTTAGAAACAACATCATGACTCCAACTTTCTATTATGTGCCCTGTGCCATTTAGAGTGGTCCTAGAGAAAGCCAATATCCTCACTCATCACTTTTCCGTCTTTGTTGGTAAATGATTTGTCTGGAATCCTCCAGCTATACCTTAGGTAAAAATATTTTGAACACTGTGTCCTTCAATTGTGTTTCTATGAGTAGTTTCTGGTTGTGTCCCCAGTCACTGTTTGTTAGAGCTGATAGAGTCTCATGACACATATCAGTTTTATACCAAAACTCTTGCATGAAATCTGTTATGGGAATTTCTCCCTCTTTTTTCCATTGCACATAATGACTCTGTGTCCTGTAGTATGCTTAAAGTCAGAATTCCCTATGAATTAAGATGAACACATCTGAGCTTTGTAGACATTCACCACAAGTAACTCATTCTTCACAGAAGACTCTCCTTCCCCTGCAAGATTCCAGGCATCCTCCACTCCCCAGAGGTCTCTGAGGCCTTTGACAACACTTCAAGAGGGAAGACTCCTTTCTCAGGGAGAAGAGCAGAGGAGGCACAGTGAGGGTCCGGCTGCAGCATATTTTGCCAGGAGTGGCTGTGATTCCATGAGCAGAATATGAGCCGTGTATTCCCACTCATTTTTTTGTGTTCTTAATATAGCAAAAGCAGAGCATCTGGAGTCGCTGTAGAGGAGGGATGCAGGGTGAACCCGGACATCGATGGCTGCCTGTCTGGAGAATGCTACTTCATTAGTCTGTAATTACTTCTGTTAACCCTCTAGGACAGGACCCTTGCCATTTTCTTCCACAGACGTGGGCAGTGATGTGTGGTGGCAGTAGGTTAACCTCTTGCATCTACTACCTCAAGCTGTAGGTGCTATCCAGTGGCAGGGACCGAGTTTTCAGGTACTGATGCTACTCTCTTGGATCCTGGTGGCAGAGAAGGTGGCAGGTGCTGACACCTTCTTCTCTGGGTTACAGCTGCTTTTGGTATTGGTGCTCTTGTCTGGCATAGGGATGTAGCTGTCACTTCTGTTCTGCAGGGCAGTCTGGATCCTGGGGACCTCCTCCGTTAACTGGACGATTCTGCATGCCCTACCCTGGAGACACCCCGCCCCCATGGGCTATTAGGCTCATGAACCTTAGTGGCCCTGAGGCTACCCGGAATCCCTCCACCTGAAACACTTGGTAAGACGATCTGAGCACTAGGAGTTGACTTGTAAAACACACTCACCTTATTTTGTTACTGTTAGGTCTTGGGCCAAGGTGCAGAGGCGGTACCACAGACCATTGTGATGCAAGGGGAATGTGTCCGCTGCCATTACCACATTCCTCAAGTTTCTCAGGATCTCATCTTCATCTTTTCCCCCACCATGGGTTGGTACAGGCATCTCTTGTAGAGAAGGAATGGGGCCGTATGCAGAAAATCAGACATAGCGCTTCAGCAGAAATGCCCTGTACACAGTCCACGTGCTGGCATCTGTGAGGCATGAGGCACAATGTAACGTACATCCATCTAGTTGTGCCCCCAGCCATCCATAGTTGTTCGATGAGTGATGAATACATCTGAGTCAGGGCTTTTAGGAGTCTTCTTCAAGTTCTTTTTGGGATCACCGGAGGCATGTGGGACACCCTGTGCATGTAATTTGGGATCTCACTGGGACAAAGAGTTTACGTTGTCGGAAGTTTGAGGGGAGGGTTTTTTTATTTTGTTTTTGACCTCCAAATAGTCTACTCAAATCAGAATAAACCTGCATCCCTTCTGGGGCTTTTTGCAGATCCAGAAGTAGGTATCACAACCAAGAGTGACATCGACACTGGCTCTGCCAAAACTGCCAAGAAGCACAAAGTAAATGCTGTGGCCATTTTCAGTTCTAAGTCTTTACAGACAGCCACATCTTTCTGTACAGGACACTCTCCTGCACTTGTCTCTGGTTTGTGTGTCGTATGGTCTGTCTGCTGTTTTTGTTTTTTCCCCAAATGCAAAACCTTTACTGCCGAGTCTACAGGCTTCTCTGTTTCCCAGCTGGCATCTTTTTGTAATAACTTGAGCAGCTAAGAGTGCCTAAAGGTGGGGACCATAGGGCTTTTCTAATGTGTTCCTGGAAGAAATCAAGGAAGATGACACCACACTCCACTTGGAAGTTTCCTACCTTGCCTCATTCTTTGTGGATCTCCTCCATGTGGAATCTTTGCTCTTGCTGTGTCTTCCTCTCCTGTTTCCTTCTATTGAGGATTTTAACGTGCTCACAAAAATCTGTGGGTATCGTTACAATATGAAAATGCGAACTGCCTTCACTCCAACTTATATTTTTGTATGTGTCCTTTAGAATGTAAATTTCATACCCATCAGCATTTTGGTAAACCTGCTGTCCAGAATCCCTTCAGGTGTGCCCTGGGCACAAACACTCTGAACTATGATAGAAAACATGCACGGAAACTTAAGTTGTGAAGAGAAAAAATCCAAAATTACCTGTGTGGCAAGTCCCCATGGTGTCCTTCACTTGTGTTCACATGAGCACGTTCTCTCGTGTCCTGTGTCACAAGTACAGCTAAAACATGGACACTTACACCAGACATCAAAGTGCATTTGTGCTAATTTTGTCTTTTAGAATTTCAGCTCATTTTTCCAGAGGACACAATTACCCTGCAAAGTGTACTGCACTTAAGCTGAGAAGTACCTCCGAAGTAAAATAAATTAGCTGAACCCAACTAACATGTATAGGTTACCTGTTTCTCTAAGAGCACTCTTTCCCAGGTCCTCTGCAGGCCCTCAGGATCCCCATCTCCCCATGTGTCTTTGTGTCCATGGATAGCACTTCCAGAGAGGAGGAGAGCCCATTGTCGGGACAGAAGTAGTTTGGGCACAGGCAGGGGCTTAGAGGCAGAGCTCTGAGCCACGAGGGTATGATTCCATGTGTGGACACTGGGATTGTCATTCCTTCTCATTCTGTAGTTCTTCACAGACACAATAAACAGCCTCTGTGGTGGAGGGGATGAAGGGTGGAGTGTGATCCTGGACATAGTTGCTTTCCTATCTGGAATATGCTACTTTGTTAATTTAGTATTCAGCCTATAAATCTTCTAGGAAAAGGGCCCTTGCTGTTTCTACGTTTCCAGACACGTGGGGACACTAGTTTATCCCAATCACATCCATTCTTCACCTCAAAGCTGTAAGTGGAACCCAAAGTATGGGAAGAGATTTTTGGCATTGATGCTGCCCTCTTGGAACCTGGTGGTGGGGAAGCTAGTAGGATATGAGCACTGCTGCTTTGGGTTTCCGCTTTTGGCTGGTGTTGGTGCTCTCTTCTGTCCTATGACCATACCTCTCATTTCTTTTCTGCAGGCTATTTTGTATGCAAGAGTCCTGGTCCTTTCCCAGGATTGCCTTGCAGGCTGTACCCCGCGGACCACCCTTCACCACCAGTCATGGGCTATAGGCCACATCCCCCTCCTCCATCTACTCTATTTGTTAAGAGGACCTGAACTGGCTGAGTGGCTGGTAAAGTATATTCATCTTCTTCATGATTGACTTTGTGGCAATGATGTAGAGACAGTTGTGAGTCCTGGCAATCCAACTATAAACTGCCTGAGGACACTGTAGCATATCTCAAGTTTCTCAGGACATACATACAATGGGCAGTGGCATGTCCCTGTAATACAGTGAGCTATACGTTTCTCTTGTCAAGTGAAAGAGGAGTTTTTACACAAAAGTAGATGTATCAGCAGTACTGGTGGGTATGTGGGAGACACAATGTGTTGGGGTCTGTAATGAATGAAGTGCACCCCTAACTTTTAGAGCATCAGGTGTCCTGTGTGAAAGAGGGACACTCATTACTTGTGATCACCAGTGAGGATCCAGGGCAAAACCGGGGGAGCCTTGAATCATACAGGAATAGAAGGGAAGTCGAGCACAGTAAGCAGAGTTTGAGGAGGTGCAGAGGGGAGGGTGTTGGGGTCAGGGAGATGCAGTTGGAGGTCATTCCGGCCACAGCCTGAGCAGGGAGTGTGAGGTCCATACGGAACTGCTATGTGGGATCGCTCTCAGTGCACGCAGGTCATCACCTAAAAAGAGTCTCGTCTCCTTGGATTTTCCTATATTTGTGGGGGGGAAAGAGCCCTGGATATATGGGGTATTTAACTTGGTCTTATGAAAATGCTGTATGCCCAAGTTCATATCCCTCAAGAGACTAAAAGTGGAGACAGGGTCTAGATCAGCTGAGTCATCCTACGATTCAGGGCTGGCCAGATGACACCACTGCTGGACCCCTGTCATCACCCTGACTACAGCTTTGCATCTCCTCATACTTCTTTCACAATATTGAGGCTTTGCCTGTGTTCCTGCAGTCTCAGCCCTAATACCAGTTCTCAGTGGGACCTACACAGAGCCTCAGCTGTGTTATCTGTGAAAACAGGGGTAATATTTGTTTCTAAGAACAAGAGAAAAAGAAGACATTCAGTGCAGAAAGCGTCTGCAAAATCTCTGGGAAGGGTCCCCCCATGAAGATCTCTCCACACAATGATCCTCCAAAAAAGATGGTCATGGGAGTTCATGAAACTAAGACTGTTAACAACTCAGCCCAGGGAGTGGGAATCACTGTTTTAAAATATAAGACAATGTCCCTCGTTTTTCTATTAGAATTCGGGCCCTGTCACACAATGAAAGAAAAGATAATTATGGGAATGTGTACATTCAGAGGCCTAGATCTGAGGACAATCATTTTCTATTACACATAATCTCACAGATGCAGCCACACACTACAGTGTTCATCTGAGGCCACAGAGAAACTACAGAAGACAGAATGCATGTAGGAAAACATAAGACCACAGGGAAATAAACCAAAATCTCTTTGCCTTATAGGACAACTCTTTTGACAGTGAAGAGGACTGTGCACGGTGACAGACAATCGTGTTTGTATATACATTTTAAGAAGGTGTCAGATCTACCTGAATGCTCTCCCTGCCCATCCTGTCCCCTCCACTTTGTCCTTCCTACTGTCCCCTCATCTACCTTTCATCATTTTGTCTCTGTGTCAGCGTCTGCTTCTAGGTCCATCTACTCTCGCTCCCCATTGAGTGCACACAGGCGGGTTCCTGTACACAAATGAGGGAGGATAGAAGCAAGATCACCCTGTGTGCAGGGGAGCCTGAGGGAGTTTTCCAGGGCAATGGGAACTCCCTATATCTAGATTGATGGGGTGCTTATGCTCAATTATTTTGGAAATATTCCCTGACTCCATGGTGCCTTGGGATCAGACAGGTACCTGTCCTTAGGGAATGGCTGAGATCTAATGGTGGAGAAGGATGAGGGACCAGCAGTGACTGTCGAGAGGAGTGAGGGTCAGACCCACGCCCAGGTCCCCACAGACAGCACCACGTGTAGGAGGGCTCTGAGGAGCAGAGATTTCTTGATCAGACCCATGAACTACATAATCCTCCTGTAGTTTCCTCACTGAGCGATGGCTAGAGCAGAGGCCAGCAGCTGGAGGACACCCTGATCATGGCGGGAGTGGAGCAGTGGGCCTGGGGGATTGAGTCAGGGAAAGGGACAGGGAGCCTGAAAGACAAATGGAAGAGAAGAGAGGGGACCCTTCTCTGCTGACTTCACCTACATTTCTGTGTGACCAAAACGAGACCCTTGGCTCCCAGGGAAGGGAAGAGGGCTGGCAAAACACCGAGTGACATACTCAGCTCAAGTGTCCACGGTATCTGCCTTGCTCTTGAGTACCTAACACAGGAAGCACGTGCTTTCTGTCATAATTGGAACTGCAGCTCGTACCATTTAGTGAAAATCAATTCAATTACGCATCCCTCAGCATTAAAGTACTGCAAGAAAATTAAGTGAACACACTGAAAGATACAACGCAGGATAAAGTCCAAAGGTAGATCGATGCCAATACTTACGGGAATACAGTCTATCCGAAAAGGAGGTAGGTACCCAAGTGCAGGCCTTCAGCCACCTGGCCGATAGCTGAAAACGTAAAAAAAAAAAAGTCCTTACTCCAAAAGCAACATTAGCGCTAGACACAAAGGGATCATGATTAAGGTTTAGAGAGCAACCCTATGACTCCATGGTGCTGTATCCATGAGAACAAGTCTCATCAAATTATACCCTTTCATTTGAGGCTCTTTGTTATATGTAAATTATACCTCATTAAAGAGAGTTTCAAAGCACAAAATACTAGAAGCAAACGTGGGAACGTTCCTTTCTAATCCTGAAGTGCACGGGTGAGATGAGTCTGTCTGCCCATGTCTCAAAAATCCAAAATAATACACTTAAAAAATTAATAATAGCAGAGGAGGAGGACCCTGTGCTCACCCTGTCCCATGTGTTCAACTGCATAACATCCACATCCAAGTCCATGAACCAGAGAGGGATCCAAGACTGGCACAACAAACTCCACACCTAAATAGAAGCTGCAGCAGGAAGGTCAGAAAGGTGGAGGCTGGCTGCCTGCAGAAGGAGCAGAGAAAGTGAGCCCTCACACGAGGGAGCTGACACAAGGAAGACTAATCTCCATAACATTTGGCATGAAAACCCAGAGGGGCTGAATTCCCTTGAGTTTAGATCCTGGCGCTTTGGAGGTCAGCTGACCCAGCACTGGGTGATCCAGGAGGATGAGTGATAGCCAGGTCCCTGCCTGTGTACAGAGGCAATGTAAACATGGCATTTCACACAATGCTTAGGCCACAGGAGACACATGTATTCAAGCTGATTCTTGACTCAGCTGGCCTGCCTGGGTCCCACTGACACCACTGAGAGCAAGCAGAGCCCACAACAGACACGCAATCAGTGCAGACCCCTGCACTGAAAGGAAAAGTAACCCAGACACAACAGCAGGGAGTGAGCAATTACCATACGATATCCTCCTGAAGGTCCAGGGCCTATAAATGGAGCCATGCACTGCTGAGGACTCCAGGACCTCTTTTTCATAACGGCATTAATTTCAAGATCAGAAGGCACAGCTGACTTTCTTAACGCAGAGGAATAGAGCCAGAGACACAGACACAATGCACACACAGAGATGTGTATCCACAATGAAAGACCTAGTCAAAGCCACAGCCAGAGATCTAAGCCAAAGAGATAGAAGTAACATACCTGATACAGAATTTAAAGCAATGATCATAAGGATACTCACTGGAGTTGTGGAATGAGTAGAAGAGTGAGACCCCTGACAGAGTTAAGATAGAACACAGTTAGACACTGAGGACACAATCAAGGAGAAACATGCTTGCTGGAATGAACAGAGGGATGGAAGAAGCAGCCCAACAAACTAGTGACCTCGAAGACTGAGTGATGGAAATGAATCACTTTGAGCCAAAGAGAGAGAACAGAATTCTGCAACGTGAGATGAGACTAAGGGAACTCAGTGACTACAGGAAAGATAATAGTATTCGTATTGTAGGAGTCCAGAAGGAAGAGAAAATGGGGAAGAAAATTTGAGGAAACAATAGCTGAAAACTTCCCTAATTGTTGGAGGGACACAAACATCCACATCCAGGAGACTACAGAACTCCCATCAAAATCAGGCCAACACACAAACTTTTGTAAGCAAACTTACAAATGAGGGTGAGAATAAAGAAAACTCGTAAAAGCAGCAAAACCGTCCTTAACTTAGAAGGGAAGACCCATAAGGCTAGCTACATATTTCTGAACAGAAACTTGGCAAGCCAGAAGTGAGTGACATCACATATTCAAAGTGCCGAATGGAAACATCAGCGGCCAAGAATACTCCATTCAGCAAGGCTATCTTTCAGGATGAAGGAGACACAGACTTTCCCAAACAAAACCTAAAGGAGTTTGTACCACTAAACCAGTGCTGCAAGAAATATGAAGAGGGATTCTTTGAGTGGAAAGGGGAGACCAACAGTGACAGTATAGAGGTAGAAGACAAATTCAAGTAAAAAATGAACATTTCTGGAAAAAAATCAGTTACAGTACTCAGAGAAATAGATTGGAAATATAATAACATCTGCCAAAAACCTAGGGAGGAGAAAGTAATGGGTTCCAAGGTAAATGACCATCAACTTAATACAAACTGCTAAATGCAGAAGAGGTTATATAAACACCTAACAGTAGCCATATCCTAAAACCAGTCATACATATGCTAAGAATAGAGATAAGGAAATCAAAATATATCACTAAAGAAAATAAGCAATACATGAAAGAAAAGCAAGAAAGGATCAGAGAAAATCATTAGAAACCACAACAAAACAGGCAATAAAATGGCAATACATATAGACATAGCAATCAATTTTGAGGGAAATGGAGTGAATGCTCCAATCTAGAGAGGTAGGGAGTAAGAATGGATGAAAAACTAAAACAGATGCCTACAAGTGACCCACTTTACACCTCAAGAATGATAGTGAGGATAGAGAAACATCACACAAATGAATGTCAAAAGAAAGCTGGAGTAACAATACTTGTATCAGAAAAAAAATACACTTAAAAAAGTACATTACAAGAGACAGAGGAGGCCAGTCTATAACAGTAAATGGTACAATCCACAAAGAAGATCTAACAACTGTAAATATATCCCACAATTGAGTGGGATTTATTCCCAAGCTACAAAGGTGGTTCAATATTCGCAAATCAGTCAATGTGATACACTACATCAACAGGAGAAAAGATAAGAACCAGATGATCGGGGCATCTGGGTGGCTCATCCTTTAACAGTCTGAAATCAGCTCGGGTCATGACTTCGTGATTCCTGAGTTCATGTCCCGCGTCAGACTCTGCGCTGAAAGCTCAGCTCCAAGAGCCTCCTTCGAGTTCTATGTCTCCCTCTCTCTCTGCCCCTCCCCTGCTCACGCTCTGCCTCTCTCAAAATTAATAAACGTTAAAATAAAAGAACCATACAGTCATTTCAATACATGCAGAAAGGAACATTTGCAAAGTACAACATCCTTTCATGCATGTAACCCCCTAAAGTAGCTTTACAGGAAACATACATTAACGTCATAAAGGTTAACTATAAAAACCCTGCAGTTATAATCAACCTTAATGGGGAAAATCTGAGAGCTTTTCCTGTAAGGTCAGGAAGAAGACAGGGATGTTTACTCATACCACTTTTAGTAAACAAATTACTGGAAGTCCTAGCCACATCCAGCAGACAAACGAAACGAAACGATTTGCAGATTACATGACACTAGATATAGAAAACCCTAAAGAGTCCACCCAATAACTCTTAGAACTGATAAATGAATTCAGCAATGTCACAGGATACAAAATCATTGTACAGAATTCTGTTGCATTTGTAGACAATACGGAAGCAGTAGAAAGAGACATTAAGAAAACAGTCCCATTTACAGTCATATGCCAAAAATAAGATATCTATGAATAAATCTAACCAAAGTGGTGAGCGACCTATACTCAGAAAAGTATAAAACAGTGATGAAAGAAATTCAAGATGACACAAAGAAGTGGAAGGAAATTCCACACTCATGGATCAGAAGTACAAATATAGTGAAAATGTCTATACTTCCCAAAGCAATTGACAGAATTAATGGAATTTCCATCAAATTACTGACAGCAGTTTTCACAGAACGACAACAGTCCTAAAATTTGTATGGAACCAAAAAAAGCCCGCAATATTCAGAGTAAACAATCTTTATGTGAAGTGATAATTATGGATGGCACTATGCCTCTGGATCTTCTGCTCCAAAACACAATAGCTCTGGCTTAAGCATTTGAACAAACGTTAGGCATATCCCAGCCAAGGATCATTCTACAAAATACATTGTACCAACGTACCCTCAAAACTTTGCACCTTATGAAAAATATGGAAAAATCTAAAAATTGTCATGGCCAAGTGGAGCCTAAGGAGACAGGATGACTGTCATGTGGCAGCTGGGATGAGTCTGGGCCAGGAGAGGTTAAAACCGAAGCAATCTGAATACAAATATAAACTTTACTTCATACTACCATATCTCTTTGATACCTTGATTGTGATCATGTACCAACCATTATGACACCAATAGTGAGAAAACAGTCTGATGTATGTGGATACTCAGTATTATCTTCCCAATTTTTTTGGTAACTAGAAACCCATCAGGAGAGAATAGATTATTAGTAATCACGGTTTTTCTACACATAAGATTATATAACCAGTTCCAGTATTAGTTACTAGTGATGGCCATGTACCTATTCTTGTTCTTACTATTGTTTAATTTAAATAATAGCATTCATGGTACAGAAAACTGAATGCATGATAAACACTTCATAGAAACATCTAGCTTTACATATTTTAAGATAATAACGTATGTATAGACCACTCTATTATGTGGTATGTAAATTAAGTGTTTTTCTGATCTTGAACGAGCATGTCATTGAATGGCTTTCCATAAAGGTGGTTATGCTAGATCATGAATGATTCTCAGATTTTACACGATGTATGTCACATCATGCCTGAACATTGTCAAAAATAAAAACATACACGCGGACAGATGAAGCATTGTGACTGGCTCACTTATTGTAAAAACCCTTGCTTTAATATTTTCACGTATACTTTTAGCAGGAATATAAGAGAATCAAATATTTCCAAATCAAACAGATATTCAAAGACTGGAAGAACGATAGGGAGTTCAAAGGGTTTCAGAAGGATAAGATGTGACCATGAAGGGGGAGTCACAGGCAAGCAGCTTTCTCTGGTCCACACTGACATGTTTGCATGAGGATATGTGACTTGCCAAAGGGTAAGTCCCAGAAGTACCAGAGGGAAAGACAATGCTTTAGGGCGGGGTGATGTGGAAAGGGTGCTTCTGTGCCTAAGAGATGGGTCAGCAACCTGGCTGGGGGTCCCTGCGTCAAAGACTTCAAAAGCCCAGCAGTAACCTATACTCACAAAGATCTTAGTAACATAGATCAAAGTAACTTAGAGACACAAAGATCTTAGAGCCACAGAGTCGATCTTCAACTATGATTAGGAGATGATCAGAGTTTCACAGGATATGATTTTTGAGCCGGCAGTAGATGGCTAAAATATTATTTAGGGCTATACATTTAATGAAAAAATGTATGTGTAAAAATTTGGGTTTGGAATGTTAAGAAAAA